ATTGCTTCAGGCGACTGGGTGGGACGAAGCAGAGGGGTAGGTACCGGAATTCCTTCGAAGAGTTTCTCATTGGTAAATGGAACGGAGAAGGAGTTCTATACTGCACGCCCTCCTGCAAGACGCGGGATCGTGAAACAGCAAGGGTACTTGATTGCGCTGTGCCCTGGTAACCCAACAGCTAGGATGTTCAGCTCGATGTTCCGAATGTCACCGTGACAGCCTCAATCCTATTGGAAATTCAATGATACCACCTATACTTGAAGTGTACCTAAATCAGGTGGGACTATTCGTAACTAGATCATGATTTTTGATACGGCGACTATTACGCTAAACCCGGTATATCGCGATACTATCATACTGTCATGCCTTAGTAAGTCGGCTATTGCACCCTCGGGTAATGCTCTGCCGAGGGTTTTGAACGCCAGTTGTAGAAGTTTAAGCGACTACAACAAGTAGCTGGTATATGGTATGATCATGTTAAAAGGGGCATACTGGTTGTAAATCATATGAGGCTACAATCTACCATATGACTTTGAGGTAGCCAAATAAGTAGATTCCCGTCCTACACTTCTTAAAATTAGAAAATAGGGTTCAGGTCTGGTAATATATTCGTCCAGGGCAGTTGGCAGATCCCATAGCAATACGCCAGCTTTCCTATTTTTCATTGTAGATTTATCTACCTCCTAACCTAAAAACATTCTGCTCGCTCGTCCTATGATCCTTTACCGGTATGAACCCATTTGGTATAAACCCCATGTTTATGCTCTCGTAGATGTCAACAACTCGAGACACTAAGTTTTCTAATGGCCCACAGATACATACGTAAGGCGGTTTGATGCAGGCTAGGAATACACATAGCTTAAGGGAGGGTGATTGAAAGAGGGTGTGGCCATAATTTCCGGTATGCACTTACTATAATAAGACTACCATACCCGATACCTTAAGCATTTTATCTATAAGCGCTACTATCGGTATAAGATGGTCATAGTTTAATTTAGTTTCCTCGGAAACGGGAGGTACTGGGCGGTAAACGGAGTAAAAGGCCGGCGATGGCTCACCATAAAGGGGAATTATTTCAGTTCAATGCATTTGACCCAGTTGACTATTATCCCAGCCTCCTATTTACATTCTGGGTTCAACAAAAAGCAGCTTAAACTATGATGCCAAGATAGTTGCTACGGTACCCGGCCATGAGGCTACCTGACGATAGTATACAGTGGATTACTTGGTATGTTTCGACGACGCTCTAGTTTCCTAAAACATCATGTTTGATGATGCCAGCTTTTCGTCTTAACATCAAAGAATAATGATCTTGACAAAATACTAAATAAAATAGGTAAATTATTATACGTCCTTATAATTCCCTATACCCACAAGGCTACCAGGTACCTAGGTACTTAATCTAGATTTAAATCTTTTTGCTATTACCTTTGATAGCGCGTGGTGGTGATTATTTTAAAATGTGCGATCCTAGTATCTGCACAAGATGTCTGACTTTGGGAGATTTTAGGCAGTTAGCATGTACCTGACCTGATGCAATATAAGCCCATCCTTGAATGATCCAAAGCTCTTCATATATGAGCTGTGGATTCGGATAAGTGGTATGGAAGTCATGTTTAACCTTTGCATGCGAGAAAACTAACAGCATTTCCCTTTTCGGGGGATTCCTTTTAGAAAGATCCTGTAAAATACGAGGCTGAATTATTTTTGTAATCGGCCAGCTGTCTCGTTTTGTTCCGAGGCGATGCGAACCTAGGCAGATGCCGAACTCGTGAAATATTTCGATCAGGCTTCGCATATCTCAGCGCGGAACTAAGGAGAACTTGATACATCGGGGTTTACGCCTCTAGTCGTGGCCAAGTGGAAATGGTACCAATATCCTCTCAACTTAACCACCCACCGGGTACGCTAATCTTCATCGTGTCCTCCGGTTAGAGAACTGGCGAGGCCCTGCATACGTCGTCCGAGTAGATCGTCTGAACTATCTAGTTTAATGATGCTCTTAGATTTCTGCCCAAATCCTGACCGGCCACTAGCTCTCCTCTTCTTCGTGTTTCCGTTCGACTTTTCAGCGTTGGCATCCTCTCCTGCCGGTTCAGAGCTGTTTGGCTTCGCCTTGGCACCGTCGCTGATAGTATGCGACCGCATTTTTGTCATATTTATCTCGAGTGGCCGGTCCTCGTCGCCGCTAGACTCAGCACGCGCATGATGACGCTGTGACAAGCTCTGCTGCTCACGTTTCATGCGTGTTTCTGCTGTATCGAGAACGTCTACTGCCCATCGCGCGCAGCGATCGATCAGCTTCCACGCAGGTGGGTACAAATTTGGAAATTGTGTGAAGCCGTGGCTAATGCCAGGGATCAGGACGATCTCGGCGACGTCCTTTTCATCGAAGTCCGTGATATCATCCAGACCTCTATCTCTCCGAGAGCTGCGCTGCGAATGGAAAGCTTGCTTGGCGCGGCGTAAGCGCCCAGCAAAGATGACTGTGTCATCAACTAAAGGATCACGCTCGCCAGTGAGGAAGTAGGTTTTCGGAAATTTCTGCAATAGGAGATCAGGGGCCAAGATAGGAGATAGGAGGTAATCCTTCGAAAAGTCGGGCCGGTTGTGAGGCCCGATGTACAAGATGATCATCGCACGCATCATCTCAGGCGTGAGAACGCGATCGTTGAAGTAGGAGATCATGGACGCCATGGCCAAGCGCGTCTTCATCGGTTCGGGTCTATGCGACGTCGACTTGGCGTTTCGGTTTGAGATCAGAGTCGACTGTTCGGATTTCACCCAGGTCTGGCGATTGGCGTGGGAGTATTCGGGCTGAGGACTGCGAAGTCCGCTATCGTCAGTGCCGGTATCTAACGTAGATGGCTCTTCACTAAGAATCGGACCGGAAGGCTCTTCATCTTCGTCGTCGGACTGGTGAGGAGTGCCAACTAAGTCATTATATTGCATACTCTTCCGACGCAGGTAGTCCTTATTCGTCGCTCGCACCCGCCGGTCCTTAATCAAGGACATCTGCTCGTCAGACATCCAGTTCCCGATGTTCATGTCCAGACCAGGATAGAGAAGTATAAGTCCGACGGGAAGAGGAAGCTCCGCCTGAATCGGATATTGACGTCGGTTTGTGTTGTTCTCGATTATCATCAAAGTCATGGCTGTCGCGAGGTTTCCACCGGCGCTATCACCCGTTACTACTACCTTCGGTATCTCCATGCCTGACATTCCTATGCACCGCCCCTTGCTCCTGGCAATGGTCGTGTACACATCGAAGCATTCGTTCAGAGCGTATGGATACGGGAACTCCGGTGCTTTCTTATACTCTAGACTGAGTACTGGAAGGCCGGTTTTCCCGGCCCATGCGAAGAGCTTGTCATCGTTGCATCGCGGGTCCATGGCCACAAAGCCTCCTCCGGGGATGTCTAGCATCATCTTGTTGATGTGCTCTAAGTCTGATATGGGCCCGTCGTAGTACAACCACCCGGAAACCGGTTCTTTGTAATCGCTAGAGCTAGGCCGAGGGATGCGAATCGCCCGCGGCGGCCACCGCGTGAACCGGGGGCGCATCAAGTTTTGAACGGCTCGTAGATATGGTGTGGTGCCCTTATTCCAGCTTACCCGTAGGTGATCGACAGTCAATGCACCTCGAACTTTCCTAACCTTCTCGTCCGCGCGTTCTGCCGCCACGAGATAAAAGAGGGAGAATGCTAAGCTAGCTATATCTCGTATCCATTTCTTCTTAATTTTCATAGCCGTCCAAAAACCCGCATCGAGCGCAGTCAATACCCATGTTGCGCGAAAATACTTGGCATCGTACATGTTCGCCATGGGCTCAGGGCTAGCAAGTCCGAAGAGGGTGCTGAAGTTCCGAGCCGCGTATAAATACATCATAGTTAGTACGACGGTCTGCCATACTGTCAATACTCTCGAGGAGGCCTTAGACAAGTGTCGAGCAACGGGCGGGCCATGTCGATTGCCTCTAAGCCATTGTTAGCGAGGCTATTTCGCATGTTGACATGGAGTCCTTACTTAAATAGATATAGGGACCAAAAAGTCAGCACAGCAAGTACCTGAAGCCTGCGCGACTTCACAGAAGGTTTACCAAGAACGTGATCGATCATGCTGTATAATCGCAATCTGAGTTATCCATCGAACGGAGGAAGGAAGATTAAGGCTATGGTAAGGCTATGGTAACTTTAGAGCATAAGAACTAGCATGTCCACCTATTTCATATGAAAAGGAAAACAGCAAGGGGAGTCTAGACTGAGGCCGCCTAGTCAAAGTGCTCCCACGAAGTGACACGGCATGTGAAATTCAGCATAGTCCCTTACAACGATTTATTACTACCAAGGAAAACCGAGTTGGGACTGGGGGCACAAGCAGAAGACGGGCTAGACGGAGAGTTCGGATGGCAAGCTGACAGGCTCCAAGGCCATTCGGAAGCAGACAATAGAACCGGGTTCGTGACATAAGGTCCGAGGACTAACGATGAGAACGACCGCTAGGTTAGAGGCATTGTGGGTTCCTGATCAAAGCTGACAGGATGGTAATAAAATTTGAAAGCTTGTGAATGGTGACCTGGGATGAAACCTGGAACCTATCGGCTCTTCTGGTGACGTTTGCGGCGAGAGTGTAGGATACACACGCGAGCCTAGCATGTGAAAGTCGATTTGGGGGCCACTAATAGGGCCACTAATAGAACAGGATCACCCCCACATCCGCCTAGTTCTCCAGCCGGTTCGAGCCTGTCGAGCCTGCTGAGTCCGGGGGCTTACCAAGGGGCATAAGCAGTAAGTTGAAACCCCGCGTTGGAGATTTGGAGAACCCCGACAAAAAGAAATCGAAATCGCATGTGACGCCTTATTGAATCCATGTGAGACAAGCTGATAGGATATACGGTTCGTATCATGACCTAGACGACGGTACTAGATAGTAAGCCGCGGAACTGCCGCAATATTTATTTAGTTTCTGACCGACACCGTGGGCTCTCTTGGATTAGATACCTTAGGTAGGTACCTAGATAGGTAGGATAAGTTATGAAACATGACCAAACGACCCGAACTCGACGTGAGTCATGGAGAGATACAGAAAGGCTCGGAGTAGTCTCGTTTGGCATTTATGTTCTCAAGCAGCGACAATGGAAAATTGAGAAAAGATGAATTCGAATGACTTGAGCAAAGCTTGGATTACATAATAAGGGCGAAACTCTCGACTAGGTAGTTCTTTCCTCCTCCAATGTTCCAACGTTCCAATGCGAGATCGGGCCGATATTTAGGCTAGCTTCTTATCGATATACCTAGGTAGCGATACGGTAACAATCTGTGAATTATTTTCTACGATCTGGAAGGAGGTACATATACTTAATATTTTGTAAGTGGGATGCGTCCTAGTTGCTCCAATCGAAGCTCCTTTCGATATCTACTCCTGCTTGCTAACTCTTGCTACTTTACCTAAGTATTTGTTCAGCTCCAGGCCGGTCAAATCGGCAAGCTTCTTCGACTTCGTCTCCTCGTCGCTAATTTCTTTCGACGAACATCGACCAGCATTATACCGGCCTCGGGATGTTTAATATGGCCTTTCGAATTCCTACTCGATATTCCACATTCGTTACAGTTCGGCGCCTCTCATCTCAGGCTACAGCAGCGTCTAATATCTCGCAAAATGGCCAAGAGTCTATATCCCGCGAGGCAACTTTGCCAAACCCCGATCCATCTGACGACTCGGCCAGTGCAGCCCTAGTGAAGAACCATTCCAAGTTTATGCTGGCAACTTATGCCAGGCCGCCTCCAGTGTTCGTGAAAGGGGAGGGTTCCTACTTGTGGGATTTAGAAAACCGTAAATATCTGGATTTCACCGCCGGTATTGCTGTTAATGCGCTCGGACATAGTGACCCCGGCCTAGCGAAGGTCATCTCAGATCAGGTACGAGCCCATTCGCCAGTTCATTTCTCGTCTTTCTACATTCTTCCTGTATTCTTCCTATACTGATCGACTCCCTTGGACCAGGCGCAAACACTATGGCATGCATCCAACCTTTACTATAACCCCTGGACCGGAGCGCTTTCCCAGCTTCTAGTAGAGAAAACTATCGCATCAGGTGCCATGCACGACGCCGCGACCGTCTTCATCTGCAATTCGGGTTCCGAGGCGAACGAAGCCGCAATCAAATTTTCCCGAAAGGTTGGCAAGGTGTTGGACTCTACTGGTGCCAAGCACGAATTCGTCTCCTTTTATAAATCATTCCACGGGCGAACTATGGGGAGTCTCTCCGCGACACCAAACCCCAAATACCAAGAACCGTTTGCGCCGATGCTACCGGGTTTCAGGTATGGAACGTATAACGACATCGGCGCCATCAACGACCTCGTGACAGATAAGACGTGCGGTGTAATAATCGAGCCCATCCAAGGCGAAGGGGGAGTCAATGTCGCCAGCGACCAATTCCTCATCGCCCTAGCGAAGAGGTGCCGCGAAGTAGGTGCCGTTCTCATCTATGATGAGATCCAATGCGGTCTGTCGAGGACCGGCACGCTCTGGGCCCACAGCCACCTACCCAAGGAGGCACATCCAGACATACTCACTACGGCGAAAGCACTTGGCAACGGCTTCCCTATTGGTGCTACTATAGTCAGTCATCACGTTAGCGAGAAGATCAAGATTGGTGATCACGGTACGACCTTTGGCGGCAATCCGATGGCGTGTCGCCTCGCGCACTATGTAGTCTCACAACTCTCGGATCCTAAGTTGCAGCAGGATGTCCTTTCCAAGTCCAAACTCTTCGTGGAGCGGTTTGAGCTCATGCGAGAACGATACCCCAACCTTATAACTGAGATTCGTGGCAAGGGCTTAATCCTTGGCGTACAGTTGACCCAAGATCCGTTGCCAATAGTAAAGGCCGCTCGAGAGAGGGGACTGCTGGTGATCACTTGTGGGACAAACACGCTCCGATTCGTCCCGCCTCTCACGGTGAGCCAGGATGAAATCGAGAGCGGGTTAAATATTCTAGAAGATGCAATTGGTGCGACTCGGTAACGTTCATTTTGTACATAGGCGTGGCGTTGAGGGTTATCGGAAAAGGATCTCTTTCCAGCTAGACTTGAAACGTATATGATGAGACACGGTAGTTAGCAATTCTATAGGTACATACTTAGGTAGTCATTAATCTTTGGCTCTGAAGTTCAACTTGTGTTTGTGCGAAACGTGAACTGGGGGGTATTGGAGCTTATTGAGAAGGATATTACTGCTAAGGGATTTAGTACTCAGGAGTACATTTAATCAACTAACCAAATGCTTTGATAACTGGGGCCTGAGACCGAAGGGATATTGTGATGATGTTATGGCGATTGAGCAAGAAAGACTTATCACACTCTAGCCAGTGGTAGTATCAAGTAGAAGCACGACTCAGGTACCAATACATTCGGTTTTCTAAAATATCAATTAAATAACTATTATATTCACAAACTCACAGTAGAACTTTCTTTATGAACGTAGCAAACGGCCTTTGAATGTAATGGATTTCAAAGAGCCTCATAATAAATAATAATGATGGATATCAAGAATAAGAGATGTATACGTGCCGTTGCCTTAGCGAACTCCTCATACGCAGGAGTAAGTCCCAGGTAAATACCTACTACCTAACTAGGTGGTAGTTACCTAGGTAGTTTTATTATCGTGAGATATTATTCAAGAGCAAGGTAACTTTACTACAATTAAAATGTGAATAGCCTATTGAACATAAGAGTGGAAGTTGCCTATAAGTCAGTAACAATTCATATGTAGATACTTATCTACTCAATAACTACCTCCTAAACCTGCCCAGGTTGGTAGTTTTACTATAGTCAACTAATCCATGCAGATATTACATAGTAGTTTACTTGTTTTTGTTAGCATCCTTTCAGTCATACCTAAAGATACGGGGTTAGAAGACATTATGAAGACTCAGAATTAATAAAAGCTTATGATCAGGTATACTGTAAAATATTAAAAGCAAAGTCAAGAGTAGCGCTATAGTATAGATATATTAGAATCTACTCTGTACTGAGTATAAGGTATGGAACCTTTATGTTTGATTATGTTGTTACATGTATGTTAACTCAGCCAGACTAGATGCTTTGACAAAAATCCAGGTACTTGCTTCTTAAACATTGGGAAGGCAGTAAAATGAGCGTTACTCAGTCTTTTCTGAGAAAGTATAGTTTCCTCTTATGACTGTCTATTATCAAACTTACCTGTATGACTTGTTTTAACTCTACCGAGATAAAAGAACCATTATTCTATCTCTTCCCTTAATCCTGTTAAAATATAAACTTACCTAACCTAGTAGCTAGGCCATAAAGGTGTGCTTTCACCTCTCGTGTATTTTGCCTACACTTATTGTGCTTGAAAAAGATCATATGGCCTAATTTTAAAGAAGACTTATAGGCACTCATCATAGCTATGAGCCTTAAGAGTATCTATGCCGTTTATTGCCAAGAAATGTCATGATATTTTATGCTGATATTAGTATTGAACATAGATACACGATGTAGAGTACTCGAGTCCTTTCAAGAAACAGATGTAAAACCCTAAACCGTGTTGCACTGTGCCGATTTAGCTACCGCAATATCTGAACATCTACGTACTAATAATTCTCTATGATTATCTTGGGATCCGTACCCCTCAAGTCCCAACAATTGCTGACGGGTTATTGAACCAAGAACAGCTATGAGGAGAACAAAGAAAGAAAGCAACGACGCCAATAGATGCAGTCCCCGGAAAATTCCCCTCCGATATCTAGGACTTCGTCGTCCGTACCTGCATATATTGATTAATTACTGCGGTGCCACATCCTGATCGACACGTAAGAGCTGTCAAAAAGGGTCGCATTCACCACCTCCATTAGAAAGTGTTTGCTGCTTTGCGACTAGTTGCTTATTGACCATCCACCCGGGCTTCGGCCAAGGAGGAAAAAAAAAAGCCTCGTTGGGCATTCCCTTTAAGCTGGACAGAAAGACTGTTGGATGCGTTGTCACATTGAGAGAGTATATGTACATTCGGAACCTTACATTTCCAAGACCTTAGTTCATATACTTGTTACTTAATAATAACTCGTCAATAGTTGTCGATTATTACGAATCTCATGATATTCATATCGTCTGACAGCTTTATAAGCAATAAAAGGCGTCTTGGGCGCTGCCGACGAGCTTGGCATTCGCCGAATAGCTATCTAGCCTGCGCATTCTTCAGCCATTGAAGAAGAGCTTTGATAAATATAGGTACGATCGTGTTCCCCCACGCGATAGAATTAACGAATGGCGTCACCAGTTCCTACCACTAAACGTTGATCGCCCGGAACCCGACACGACCCGGGGTAGGCTGCGGAATTTTCTTTTATTAACTCTAGATCCGGCAGCAAGCCGCTGTGAACAATCTGAGACTCTTGAGATAAATAGGCTGGGAAGCCTTTTGCCACTAGACGGCTACGCGACTAAGGTCTAACTTTGGTGGGCGATACGTAGCAGGTATCTCAACAGAAGAACGCAGCGTGCTTCTAGACTTCTCATCCCCCCTCTGCTCCGAGAAGAAAGAAGAGCTTTTTTTTTTTTCGCTCCCATCTAAGTAGGGTAAAACTTCGCGCCGTCTCTCGTCAGCTCGATGTGATTTGGCTTCCGTACCTTGCAGCTGGACCATGCGCCTGGGAGGGGTTCCGTCGCATTCCCGCCCGTCCATCCCACACCGGCCGTGACGGGGCTGGGGTAAACCAATAGAAAGGGGGAAATAAATGGGAAAGGTTTCCCAAAGAAAAAGAAAAAAATTTATTGCGTATTATGTGCAGGTACGAGTAGTATCTACTGGAACTCCAATAGGATCGTTGCCATACGAACCCAGCGGAGTAGCTACCTAACTACCTCGGTTCATAGTTTGAATCGCCAGCAGTATCATTCACTCTTGTTTAGGTGAAGAATTGGTGATAGATGCTACCTTGAGCTCCAAATAAATAAAAGAGACGATAAATCAGAGGAGCTAACTAGGCGCTGATAACATGAGGCGAATTGGGAGCTGCCACACAAACATAAACCCTGGTACAAAATTATCCCACGCATTTACACTATACGATGACCTCGTCCCTTGCATTAGCCTTTCGGTTTGGTCTGGCCTATGAGCCGCGAAGGAACTAGGTTAGAGAGTTCTTTTTCTTTACCCTCGGTTCAGGCTAAATCAGGTAAAGCTAAGGCCCTAAGAAATTCTAGAGCTGGTTTATAAGTAAACCTCATAAGTTATCCCGAAGACTATTGGGATGAACATGTGCTCTGGAAGAGAATGCCATTAACACGCAACCGTAGGACGAGAGCTACATACTTCATACCTAGTATACCTAGAACAGATGAAAATAAGGTAGGGAGCACTACTCCACCTTTCCTAATAACATAATAGATGTCTAACGTCAGCCACATTCCCACCAGGACGGCACCTTGTATTATGTACACCAGCACCGCACAGATTTTACCTTTCCCAGGCTCATGTACGAATTGCATTGATCCTCGAGCAGTCAATCCATGGGCCTGGGAAACCATCTCCGGGACTTGGCTAAAGGATCAGCCAGTATTCCATGTGCATACCTGATGTATGCTATGTACACGTTATGATTGTACCAAAGGATCAGTCAGGTGGAGCCACTGTCATCCCTGGAATACACGTGGTGTTGCTATCATGAATGAACGAGATGGATCTTGTGCTCGGTCTTTCTTTTGAATCGCAAAAATTAAGGACCGAAATGGTAGACATCAACATAGAAATACTCTTATACATATTGCGAGGTTTCTTTGGGTGGCACACTTGAGCTCGGGAGGATTCCCGCTCCAGGAAACCCCTTAGAATGCGTCGGGCTGACCACCAAGCTCTTCGAGATCCGGAGAAGTGCAGATACATAGACTTTGGAGATTAGGGCTAATGTATATTATCAAATCGGAGGATTGGCCCTAAAAGCGCCACTGACGTGGATTTGAATGAGGAAAAGCAACAGCAGACCTAGCCTAGGTAGAGAGAGACCCTATGTATCGCTTGCTACAACCCGGTAATACCGTCACACTATACGTGCAGGTTCGGATTTACGACCTTCCCGGGGGGGGGGGGGGCAACATAGGCTTCGAACCAATTATAGCTCTTATGTTATGATTATGATCATGTATACCGAGAGGCTTGTTTCTAACCCGGGGTTTTCCCCCGTTAGATAGCATATCAAAACCGAAGTACTTGGACGGATGAAGTAAGGGAACTACCCGTTCGTCGTATCAAATGTCAAGACCGTACCTCCAGGTGTACCTACGGGACGGGTGTGTCGCACATAAGGGTGATGAGATATCGACTGGACCGTAGTGGTGTAGATGCGGCATCTCCCCCTGTTTCTATTTGAGGAACAGTAATAATGATGGCATCGTGGGACATCGAATCCTTGTATTCGAGTAATCCTGTCATAGGATTGACGACGTCATATTAATTCAGTGCCAGCGGTTCAGTGGCCCGGTGCACTGGCTCGGGATCGTAATGAAGGAGGGGATGAGGAGCTCTCAACCGCGGTTCGGGGTCTCTGCGAACCCTGGCATGTGCCATTATGACGAGCAACTGGACATAAGCGTAAACCTGGTGAGTAGGAACATAGGAACAGGAACAATTTGTGCATGGAGTTTAAGGGTCATTTAAATGGATCTTAACTTGAAAAAGTTATGGAACCCGTCAAAGTATATGAAAGCAGTTTGATAATAACAAACGGCTCTTATCAACTTAGAGCCTGTTAACGACTTTATGAATTTGGCGGCCCGTCATCAGTAATAAAAGTCTTACGTTAGGTCAACCCTCGTAAGCCAGACAGATAGCAGGAGAACTGTCTGTTACGTAAATATCGGTATGCCTAACTGTGTACGAAGATACTAATTTATTTAGCTTGGAGGAGACATATTCTTGTACAGTACTGCTTCTTGTATATAATTGATGGTCTAGAACGTTACTAGCGTTCGGGATAACTTGGCTATCCATAAAAACCGACGGTGTCGTCTGGACTGCACTTGTAAGATCCGCAGTTTAGTTTGGATGCTATATCATGAAAGCTTTGACTGGATATTGAGTTATAGCTGACTCCACATGAATCCCGGAAGAGAATAGGAAAAAAAAAATCCTCTAGAAAATGCCGTACCTAGTCCATTTTCCGTAGAGGCCTTCCATCCTCTTATGATGCTTGGATTCCGTATCCCGCAAGCTCTCGTCTTGAGGAGCACGGCAATAAACTCTTCGGGGAGACATGGCTAATGTGGGTGTGTAAGTATCGATATTTGCTGCGCTCGTCAAATAGGCATGAAGCATGACCCTACATTTGAACTAGGCTAATGTAAGGTACGAGCAAGCAGCAGGCTGCGTTGCGGACAGGCTACGT